TATTAAAGCCATACAAGATATGTATGAGGGGGTAAAAACTAGTATAAAAACACCTAGTGGTCAAACAAAGGATTTTCCTATAAAGATTGGACTACATCAGGGATCATCTCTGAGTCGTTATTTGTTCAACTTGATTTTAAATGTTTTGACGGAACATATTCAAGAGGAAATCCCGAAATGTATACTCTTCGCGGATGATATAGTTCTTATAGCAGAGACAAGAGAAGAGGTTAATTGTAAACTTGAGTTATGGAGGAGGACATTGGAATCGAAAGGTTTTCGTCTGAGTAGAAGTAAGACGGAATATTTATATTGTAAATTTGGTAAAGGAATATTCGACAATAATTTGGAAGTGAAATTGGGAGATCAAATTATACCTCAAGTGGAAAAGTTTAGATATTTGGGAGCCATTATTCAAAATGATGGCGAAATCAATGGAGATATTTCACATAGAATTCAAGCTGGGTGGTTTAATTGGAGAAAAGCTAAAGGAGTTATTTGTGACCGTAAGGTGCCTAATAAACTTAAAGGAAAGTTTTATCGCACTGCTATCAGACCGGCAATGTTATATAGTAGTGAATGCTGGGCTCTAACGAGACAGCAAGAGCATAAAGTTGGAGTAGCAGAGATGAGAATGTTACGATGGATGTGCGAACATACACGTAAAGATAAAATTCGAAATGAGCACGTACGTGAAAAAGTGAGGGTGGCACCTATTGAGGAAAAAATGGTAGAAAATCGGTTGAGATGATTTGGGCATGTACAAAGAAGACCAAGGGAGGCACCAGTGAGAAGAGTGGAACATATAACTTTGAGTCCGATTAAGAGAGGTAGAGGAAGGCCTAAGAGAATACTCTTGGAAGTTGTTGAACGCGATCTCTTAATTAATAATATTCCTAAAAGTTTGATAAATGATAGAGCACAATGGCGTCTTGCAATCCATGTAGCCGACTCCACCTAGTGGGATAAAGGCTTGTTGTTGTTGTTGTTGTTGCAGGAGACAGGTGTCTAATGTGCCTTTTGCGTTGCCTTCATCTTTAAGCCTCGGATTTCAGCCATCTACTTCATCTAGTGATGAGAAATAATTCACTAATCAAAATTTTGTCGTTTAGCATATTAGACCCTTGATGGTTCATTCTAACACTCAGTTCTAGCCATTCATGATTTTTAATTTAAACCAATTATTTCTTATCACGTTGGCATAGAAGACGGTCACGAAAGGGTTACAAGCAATGCTATGAAAATAGAATCAGTCATTGAATCAGTTGAGGCATTGATTCACAATTCAATGGTTAGATTGAAGTTGGACTAGATATAATTAAATTAATATATTTAAATATTATAGAGAAGTTTAAATTAATTTTCTTTTTTTTAATTTCAAAATGATTGTTGATCTTTTTTGAGATGGTGATCACACATATTTTAAAAGAAACAAGAAATAAATTTTTTTAAAGATATGTAAATAAATATTTGGATGAATATAGATGAAAAAGGTGTTTACATGTAAATAAATAAGCCCAAAGAATCAATTGAAAAAGAGAAAATTGGTGTATTTTTTATTTTGAGTTTGGTCATTAAGCATTTTTTATAGGCAAATTATAACCAAATTAAAATGATATTATATGAAACAAAAATGCAGATAAATAGCTAGAAGAATGGAGATAAAAGAAATGTTCATACATGAAAAAATAAGCCAAAGGAACTAACGAAAAAAATGAACAAAAATGAGGAGGGGAAAAAAAAAAAGCAAACTTGTTAAAAGGACTGGTTAGCATACATATTTGTCAACGGAAATAGTGCCACATTGCTTGAGTAATGTGAGGCAAGGCACACTCTCATCTATATAATGGAATGAAGTGATGACACTTAAGAAGTGCTGTTGGGTGACAACTTGCATGAGCTGTGGGCTTAGGGCATGGCATTTTACTTTTCTTTCTTTTGTTTTTTGTTTTGTTTTGTTTTTTTTTTTGTTTTGTTTTTGTGTTTCCATGTTTGGCCACCGTTTTCTTTTGCATTTTGCCCCTTTCTTTTGCATTTTGCTTCTCCTGTTAACTTTTATCCAAAATAATAAAAAAAAATTAAAATAAAAAAAATCTAAAATGATGTGGTATTTGTAAGAGAGAATTACATTGAAGTTTCACTTAAAAAAATTAATTACTGCAAAATCTATTGACAATTGAATTAAATTGCATTGACAACACAATCAGTTGTCAATGTAATTTAATTTAGTTGTCAATGAACCTTATAGTAATTAATTTTTCTGTGCGGAACTTGGTTATAATTCTCCCTATTTGTAAATTGGGGGAAAATTAAAAGAAAGTAGAATGAATTGTATGGACTACTTAAACTGTCAGTTCTCCTGATTTAGGCTGGTTCAAGCAGTTCATAGACAATTCTCTCCTCCCCCAATTATGTAGTAATTTTGGATAGACTACCTGACCGGTTCCCAATTGAACCGGTCAAATTGGCCAATCCGATCTGATTGTGATAACCTTGGCCACAAGAGGTTCTGTACATCTTGGTTATAGACTAAATTTTGTAGAAATTGCCAACATCTCAGTTTTGCACAAGACGCCTACTCATACACTAATAATCCAGTCATTTCCAAATTTAAAAAATTAGCTCAAAACTTGAAGGCACTGAACAATAACAAGATAAGTATAATCTAAGCTAGGTGAAAGTAGGATTTGAGATTGATTAAGCATCGCCATAGCTTGAAGTAGAAGCATTTTGGGAGTTTTGAGTTATCCATAGTTATGACTTCATCCGATGAACAAAAAATCTTCTCAATCCCAGAAAGAAGAAGAAAAACAATGCCTATCGCCTGCTCGGCCGCTTCGAGGTTGAAGAACTAGGGGGGAAGAATGAACTCCATTGCTAAAAAGGACCCTAGAAAGAAAGAATGATTTTTTTTTTTTCGTGGAAAGAATGAAGAAAGAACAATTAGTTCTATCCACGGGGGAGGAAGATGGATTTGGATTAAAAGAGACCAACGATTAGAATTTGTTTTGTAAATAATCCATCAAGATCTGCTCAATCAAAATGATATCGTTTTGATGAATCAAATGTTTCTTGCCCGTGTATATATCAAATGGAGGACTGAGATTAGGCATGTTAGGGAAGCAGACAAGGCGCAACAAACACCCTTTGCCCATTTTTTTGTTGATTATTGATTACCCTTAATAATAATAATAACAATAATAATAATAATAATAATAATATATTAAGTAAGTTTTGATGTGGGGTCCTTTATTTAAAAGATAGACCTTGAAGACATATTTGATGCTAATTTTAAAGAATATTAATTAATTGCTGACGGATAAATTAAAGGCAATCAATGTTGATAATAAAAGTTAGATGTCAAGCATGAAAAGAAAAGAGAGAATGAAGTGATAACATAATAAAGAGAAGCAAGGATGCAAAATAATAAAACAAAAAAAAAGAAAAGAAAAAGAAGACAAAGATGCCAAATAATGTTAAGAAAATAAAAGAAAAACACATGAAGGGGGGAAAAAAGGAAAGAAACTAAAGTCAAAACGTTCACCGAAAACAAATTAATTACAACAACAACAACAACAACAACAAGCCTTTATCCCACTAGGTGGGGTCGGCTATATAGATTGTAAGACGCCATTGTGCTCTATCATTTATCAAGCTTTTAGGAATATTATTAATTAAGAGATCACGTTCAATAACTTCCAAGAGTGTTCTCTTAGGCCTTCCTCTACCTCTCTTAATCGGACTCAAAGTTATATGTTCCACTCTTCTCATTGGTGCCTCCCTTGGTTTTCTTTATACATGCTCAAACCATCTCAACCGATTTTCTACTATTTTTTCCTCAATAGGTGCCACCCTCACTTTTTCGCGTACGTGCTCATTTCGAATTTTATCTTTACGTGTATGTCCGCACATCCATCGTAACATTCTCATCTCTGCTACTCCAACTTTATGCTCTTGCTGTCCCGTTAGAGCCCAGCATTCACTACTATATAACATTGCCGGTCTGATAGCAGTACGATAAAACTTTCCTTTAAGTTTATTAGGCACCTTACGGTCGCAAATAACTCCTTTAGCTTTTCTCCAATTAAACCACCCAGCTTGAATTCTATGTGAAATATCTCCACTGATTTCGCCATCATTTTGAATAATGGCTCCCAAATATTTAAACTTTTCCACTTGAGGTATAATTTGGTCTCCCAATTTCACTTCCAAATTATTGTCGAATAGTCCTTTACCAAATTTACAATATAAATATTCCGTCTTACTTCTACTCAGACGAAAACCTTTCAACTCTAATGTCCTCCTCTATAACTCAAGTTTGCAATTAACCTCTTCTCTTATCTCTGCTATAAGAACTATATCATTCGCGAAGAGCATACATTTTGAAATTTCCCCTTGAATATGTTCCGTCAAAACATTTAAGATCAAGTTGAACAAATAAGGACTCAGAGATGATCCCTGATGTAGTCCAATCTTTATAAAAAAATCCTTTGTTTGACCACTAGGCGTTCTTATACCGAAAACAAATTAATTAGAGTTAGAAAAAATTAACTACAGTCATTCTGAAGTTGATAAAACAAGCAAACTTTTCCCCTTACATGTATTAAAAATTTTTATCTCCTCTCTCCCCCATGTAAGACTGTTTTCCTCTTTTTCACTTGTAAAATGTTCTCCTCGTCAAACATTTTCGTGCAAGCACTTTATACTTTTTTTTATTAAAAAAGTCACATGTTTATACCTATATTCTCTTTTTTATAAACTCTTGGAGGTCTGATCCTTTGTTTTGTTTCTGATCCTTCCGCTATTATGAATTATTATTATTATTATGTAAGAGTTGAATTTACTATTTACAGAACAGAACACGATGCATTACACGAGAAACAATCGGAAGCTTCATTCACAGAATCACAAGCTTTCTACTGTTCTCTTCACCTGGCCTTCATCCGAACACTTTTGAGATCGCCGACCACCGTGTTCCTCCGTGATTCACCGGAATCTGTTTAATCACATCCTCCGACATCCTCAGACTGTACCTCTCTGTGTCTCTCCTCTTCGATTTCACTTTCACCCAAACCCGAAGAGTGACCAGTTGAATGACACATCCCTAAACTTCTGTTGCCTGAATTAAGCTCCGTTCTTGTCACAGAACTTTCATCGAACGCCTGTTGTGCATTTGTAACCTCATTTGGAATAACTATCACCACATCGCCTTCACCTCGGTGGTGGTCCTCCGCCGGCTTCAGCCTCGAGCGACAAACAGGGCAAGTAACGTGGGAGGCTAACCAGGCATCGATGCATCCAGGATGAAACACGTGGTGACATTTCGGAAGCAATCGGAGCGTATCGTGGTGGTTGAACTCGTTCAAGCACACCGCACACTCCGGAGCGGTGGCTTTCCCAAAGTCGAGGTGTTTGACGGCGGAATACACGAGGATGGGGAAGGTTTCGAGTAATTTCGGGTCGATACCGTGAGGAGCACTTGAAGAGCAATTGACGGTGGCAGCGTCTGTCGGGCCTCCGGCAGGAAGTTCCAAGTCGGAGCATTGGCGGATGTAGATGACGAAGCAGGCGATGAAGAGGAGGGCGCAACCGAGGGCGACAACCACGGGGGCGAATAAGGCGTTCCTGTTGCGAAGTGAAGCACCAGGAGAAGCCTCCGGTGGCGACCTTGACTGGGCATGGACGGCCGACGATAGAAGGAAGAAGACGAGGATGTGCGAGAGAGTGATCCTCCTTATCACATTTGGACAGCTCTGGAAACTCATTGACAAAATAGATGAATTGGAGGGGTTAGGATTTGCTGAGAGAGAGAGAGAGAGAGGCAGGATAGAAATTTGAATTAGAATATTGGATCTGATGAGTGATACTGTCAAAAACACTTCAATCAATCAATTAATATTAATATTAATATATATATATATATATATTATAAAATGAGGATTTGTCCAATGCAACGTGGACAAATTAGGATTTAAATTTGGATAGGTGGGTTAAGTGCATTCCCTCGACAGTGTCTCTCATACTCGTTGCCTATGTTTCCGTTTTCAAAAATTTAAAATTTAAAGCTTTTTAATATTACATGACAAAAATTTTGACAACTGATTAAATTAAATTAAATAATTATTCTTTTATCACGTAAGATATCATTGAGTAAATATATTTAAATTACTTATTAAATTTAAATTTAAAAATTAAAGTGCTCATATTTACACCAAAGACAAAAAGGATTCTCTCTCTCTCTCCATCATTTTTTACTTTTTTAAATCATTAAATTAAAAATTAGATATTTTTATTTAATTTCTTATAAAATTCTTATTAAAATGTTAAGTTGCAAGACAAATGAACAATTAAATTTAAAATTCTAAAATTTATTTTGAATATTTTAAAATAGTATTAAAAAAGGATATATGCTATAAAAAATAAAATCCGAGTTGTGTAAAATGTTAATTTTAGTTATTTGGGAAAAAAAGAGGAGAGCAGTGGATAGAGTCTCTCGTTTTTTTTTTTTGACAAAATTGTTTTTAATAAAAAGCACCTACATTACTAAAAAACTTGATATACTTAACGAAAAAAATTAGTGAGAAGGTCCATAAGATTAAGGTTTTTAGGATAAAGGACCATGGTCCTTCAACTTAATTAATGTTAAGTGAATTAAGGTGATAATCTTAATTCACTTGAAGGACTTTAGTCTTTTTTTTAAAAAAATAATATTTCCATAGTCCATGCCAATTTTTCATATAATCAGATACTCCTCTAATTTTATTTATAGGTCAAAAAAAAAAATTAGTCCTATTTATGACTTGCCAATTCCCAGTATTTCTTTTTTCATTTTTTGTCCTTATTAACTCACTTGACTAAAAATACTAATAATGAGATATAAAAATAAAAATAAAAATTATTAAATTTTACAATAAAATTAATAAGATTTAAATTTTTTTAATTTAAAAAATATATGAAAAGTAATTTATAAATAAACTGGAAGTAACTGCTGAGAAGGACAAGCCAATATGTGCAGTAAGGAAATAAAACTGAAAATCAAATTAGTACAGACTTCCGCGCGAGATGGGCTAGTTGGACAAAAACCAAAACCGGTCCCCGGTTTTAATTTGTTAGATAAGGCATCTGGTTTCGTCACCTTACCTCGTACGTTCGGATTCCCACGTTTTAATTCCTTAACCATTTAACTAAATAGAATAATCTAGTTGACAAATATATATATATATATAGAGAGAGAGAGAGAGAGAATAATCTAGGGCTCCAGGCAAGGCAATACTCGCTGGCAACTTGTCATCAATGTAGACAAATATCTTAGAGGATAACTATCACCCTCGCCGTAAAGATGAGTTTGTTTTATTTTTCTTGCCTACTTTTTTGTTTTTAAAAACTTAATTTTTAGACTTGATTTCAAAACAAAACTAAATAAAAATATATTTCACTATATCAATTTTAAAATAGTTTTAAAATTAAAAAATAAACTTACAATGGTGGTTGCAAGGAGTAATTAATGGTGGTGATTTATGATAGAATTTGATTAAACTAATTATATTTTATAACATAATTACAGAGTACACTAGAGATTATCTCTCATGGGATCCAGAAGGCAAACGGTAAACATCGCTCAACGCAATTACTACATATATAAGGATTGGATTCGAACCCTCAATCATTTGCATAAGTGATGAAAGCCCTTACTTTCCATACCAATTTTAATTGATAGTTTTTTGGTATTACTAAATAAAGATATATCTTTTTAAAATATGATTTTTGTTGTATGTTGTAAAAAACATGAAAATTGAATTGAATTTTCTCTTAAAAAAAAAGAAACATCAATATTTGTTAAGTTTCTAGCTTTTATTCTACAAAATAAAAAAATTGAAAAATATCACATTTTTATTAATAATAATTATGTAGATGGAGTAGATTATTTTTTTCACCTTTCATTTCATTATTTTAAATATGTTTTTAAAATAATAATTTAATTTTTTTAAAAAAATTATCTCTTAGACTTATTCTACTAAATTTAATTTGTTTAAGAAATAAAAATGAATAATGGAATCAAACAAGGGATAATGTTGATTGAGGATCTAGCAGAATTATTAATTATTAAATTTCTTACTTTACTTATTAATTTAATAATATAAGTTGTAAACTACATTACATGACCTGTACATTGTAAGATCACTTTTATTAGTACAATACTTAATTAACACACCGCTGGTAATCAAGGAACCAATAAAAAAAAATCACCCAATCAAGGTTAACAATTTACAAGTATTTTAAAATTCAAAGGTATTTCTTTTAAAAATTAGGATCCTAAGTTTAAAACCTTATAAAACATTTCAAATATAACTTTATTAAGCATAAAACAAAGTCAAACTAAGTATGGAAGCATGAAATATCATTTAATGGTCAAAAAGCCTCAAAACTAGTTGAAAAATATTAAGTGGGAGAAATGATAGAGGGATGTGCTGTGAAATATGCGCATGTGTCGCAACTTATTTCTTTTTATGCCCAATGTTCAATCGGGGGAATTTAGGTGTCAACCAAAAAAATCTTTACATAATTAGTTAACGATATGAGTTTTACTCTCAAAAATTTTCACACAACAGATATGGACACCCAAATACAAGTTTCCCACTTTTTTAAAATAAAGGTGTTCAAAAACCTACATATATGTTAAAAGCCACAACCAACACTTAAAAACATACTCAATTGATTTAAAACTATCTGTGCAACACACCATAGTCACAATATATTATACATATCTCATTTTCAACTTTCAACCTCTTAATACCAAAAACAAAAGGGAGAGATCTAGCCTTGCATTTGATCAAAATAACTACAAAGTTATAACATTTCAATATCCCTAGTCTTGTACTAATATTTTAGTCTCATTAAAATTTACATCATGCTTATACGACAACTCCAAGGCCCAAAATACAACAATTAATCATGCACTTCTATTTAACAAGTGTCAAAAAATAATTTTTTAGTTGGCAATATCAATGAAATTACACATTAAACAAATAAAAACAAGAGACTGTACAATAAGAATACTAAATTTCTAAGCCTCTAAAGCTTTTTCCTTATCTTATCCCGAGCTAAAGCCTGTAAAATATTAGGAGAGGGAGAGGGGTAAGTACAATTACTTAATAACAAAGATATATTTCTTATAACATTTTGAGATTTAATTCAAGAATAAACTAATTAATTAGGTGACATAATTAATTAATTATGATAGTTAGAAGTTGACTATTGGCAACGTCTCAATTATGCACAAGACATCTACTCATACACCAATAATCCAGTCATTTCCAAAAAAATTTTAAAAAAAGTAGCTCCAAACTTGAAGGCACTAAACAATAACAAGATAAATACAATTTAAGTTATAAAGTTAATAATATGGGTCAACCTATAACCTGTGAGTTGGCCTACAGTAGGATAGCATAAGCCGCATCTTATATACAGGTTATATATGGGCCAACCCATTAACTCGTAGCTGGTTTGCAAGTTAACCTACAAATAAAAAAAATTTTAAATATTTTTAATTTTGAAAATTATAAATTCATCTCTTTTTAAGTTTTTTTGTGGTAGAAAAAATCATATTTTCTTCCTAAAAATTAATTATTCAAGTAATAATAAAACTCCTTCTAAATCATTTAAAAAAATACAATACAAATTTAAAATACAACACAATCTAAAAACATAATTAAACATAATATGTAACAAAATTTCGAGCATATGTCCCAAATGATCAGGTCAAATGAGCGAAACATTGAATAAAATAAAGGAGGCAAAGTCCGTTTCTAACATGAGAAAATTAACAAGGATGGCTTCAACAACTACGTCTCTCTCGCAAATAAAAAGCTGTTAGATTTCCAAGGAACTGCATAAATAGTGTTCCAGCCACGAGAGTATTCTAGTGGTGTTGGTTCTCTTCCTTCCTCGTCTGAAATTGAACCAAGAAGTGTAAACTAAATAGCTTCGAGAACGATTCGCAATTGTCCCTAATATATTGAAATTGTTTTTCCGCGCGGCGTCCCACAAGAGCGAAGGACCCTAAGCATAGTCTATACATAGAAGAAGCGCACGTCTCTGTCTTTTTTTTCTTTTTTAATAATAATAACTGGGTTAACCCATAACCCGTAGCGAATTCAAATTATATAGGGCAAGCTAAACCTGACTTGCAAAAAAATGAATCTGGTTTTTTTTTTTTTTAACATGGCCCATTTGTTTTTGTAGGTTAGTGGGTTCAACCTATGGGTTTAACCCATATTACTAGCTCTACTGAGTTAGGTGAAATTTGAAAGTAGGATTTAAGTTTGATTGAGAATTGCCATAACTTGAAGTAGAAATATTTTGGGAGTTTTGAGTTATTCGAATTTATGACTTCATCCAATGAATAAAAATTCTTCACAATCCCACAAAGAAGGAGAAAAACAATACCAATCTCCTACTCGGCCACTGAGGTTGGAGAACTGGGGAGGAAGAATAAACTCCGTTGCTGAAAGGGACCCTAGAAAGAAACAACGACTAGCTCAATCCACAGGGAGGAAGACAGATTTGGATTAAAAGAGACCAACGACTAGGATTTGTTTTGTGAATAGTCGGTTAGGATTTGCTCAATCAAAATGACATCACTTTGATTAATGAGATGTTTCTAGCCGGTATATCAAATGGAGGCATGGGATTAGGCATATTAGGGAAGCAGACAAGGTGTAGTAAACACCCTTTGCCCCTTTTTTGTTGAATACTGATTAACTTGTTACTATTATTATTAAGTAATTTTTGATATGGGGTCTTTTACTCAGGACAATAAAAACATATTTGATATTGATTTTGAAGGATATTAACTAGTTGTCGACAGATAAAAATAAGGATAATTTATTCAGACAGTAAAAGTTGGACGGCAACTATAAAAAAGAGAAAGAGAATGAAGTGATAATGTAGTAAATAAAAGTAAAGATATGATTAACAAATGTGCAAAATAGCCAAAAAAAAAGATGTAAAATAGTTAAAAGAGAAGAAAGAAAAAAAAAAGATGCCAAATAATTAAAAGAGAAAATGAAAAATATGTGAAAAAAAGAAAATATCAAAGTCAAAAAAATCCACCAAAAAACAAATTAACTAGAATTAAAACAAATCAATAAGAGTCATTGTCAAATAAATAGAAGAAGGAAATTTCTCCTCTCATAGATATCAAAAAATTTTATCTCCCCTCTCTTCCTTGTAAACTATCATCTTCTCTTCCGCTTTTAAAATTTTTCTCTCCTCTCAAGCATTCTTTTTAAGCACTCTATACTTTTTCTTATATCAATAAAGTCACGTGTTTATATTTATATTCTCTTTTAATAAACTCTGATAGGTATCCTTTGTTTTGTTTCTGATCCTTCCGCTATTATGAATTATTATTATGTAAGTGTTGTATTTTATCATTTACAGATCAGAACTCGATGTATTACCGCGAGAAACAATTCGAAGCTTCATTCACAGAATCAAATGCTTTCTACTGTTCTCTTCACCTGGCCTTCCTCCGAACACATTTTAGCTCGCCGACCATCGCGTTCCTCTGTGATTCATCGGAATCTGTTTGCTCACATCTTCCGACATCCTCAGACTGTACCTCCCCGTGTCTTTCCTCTTCGATTTCACTTTCACCCAAACCCAAAGAGTGACCAGTTGAATGACACATCCCTAAACTTCTGTTGCCTGAATTAAGCTCCATTCTTGTCACAGAGCTTTCATCGAACACCTGTTGTGCATTTGTAACCTCATTCGGAATAACTATCACCTCATCGCCTTCACCTCGGCGGTGATCCTCCTCCTGCTTCAGCCTCGAGCGACAAACAGGGCAAGTAACATGGGAGGCTAACGAGGCATCGATGCATTCAAGATGAAACACGTGGTGACATTTCGGAAGCAATCGGAGCGTATCGCGGTGGTCGAACTCGTTCAAGCACACCGCACATTCCGGCGCGGAGGCTTTCCCAAAGTCGAGGTGTTTGACGGCGGAATACACGAGGATGGGGAAGATTTCGATTAATTTCGGGTCGATGCTGTGATGAACACTTGAAGAACAATTGGCGGTGGCAGCGTCTGTCGGGTCTCCGGCAGGAAGTTCCAAGTCGGGGCAGTGGAGGATGTAGATGACGAAGCAGGCGATGAAAAGGAAGGCGCAACAGAGGGCGACAACCACGGGAGCGAATAAGGCGTTCCTGTTGCGAAGTGAAGCACCGGGAGAAGCCTCAGGTGCCGAACTTGACTGGGCATGGACGGCCGACGATAGAAGGAAGAAGACGAGGATATGCGAGGGCGTGATTCTCCATATCACATTTGGACAGCCTTGGAAACTCATTGACAAAGATGGATGGTGCTGAGAAAAAGAGAAAAGTTAGAATAGAATTAGAATTAGAATATTGGGTCTGATGAGTGACACTGTCAAAAACACTTCAATCAATCAATTATAAAATGAGGAGTGGTCCGATGCAACGTGGACAAATTAGGATTTGGTTTTGTTAGGCGAGTTAAGTACATTCCCTTAAAAGTATCTCCATTATAATAGTTAAATTTTATTAATACTTAAAAATTATTATACATGCATTTCTTTTCAAAGATTTAAAATCATTATTATTACCATAATACCCCTTGCTTATGTTTTCCTCGTCGAAATTTTAAAATTTAATACTTTCTAATATTATATGACAAAATTCTTTACAATTGGTTAGATTAAATCAAATAGTTATTATTTTATAGTGTGAGATTTTCATTGAGTAAATATATTTAGATTATTTATTAAATTTAAATCCAAAAATTTAAAAATTTGCCCATATCTACTTGGAGCCATACTCTAAAAGGATTCTCTCCTTTTTTTAACTTCCCATCATTTAGTTTTTTCTTTTCCTTTTTTAATCATTAGATTAAAATTTAGATAATTTTTATTTATTTTCTTATAAAATTCTTATTAGAATGTTAAATTACAAGAGAAATAAAAAATTAAATTTAAAATTATAAAATGTAATTTGAATATTTTAAAATAGTATTGAAACCAAATAAAAAGATATATTTTATAAAAAATAAAATCCGAGTTGTGAAAAATGTTAATTTTAATTATTAGGGAAAAAAAAGAGAAGAGCACAGGAGAGAATATCTCCTTTTTTGACAAAATAGTTTTTAAGCACCTGCTTAATATAAAAAACTTGATATAATCAATGAAAAAATTAGTGAGAAGGACCGTAAGATAAAAGATTTTAGTAAAAAGGACCAAGGACCTTTAACTTAACCTTTAACTTAATTAAGATTAAGTTAATTAAGGTGATAATCTTATTTCACTTGAAGGACTTTAGTCCTTTTTTTTTGGATAATATTTCCGTAGTCCTTCTTACCAATTTTTCTTATAATCAGATAAGTGCTGAGAAGCGAGAAGGACACGCCAATCCGCATGCGCAGTAAGGGGGGAAAAACTGGAAATTAAATTAGTACTGACTTGCGTGGGAGATGGGCTCGTTGGACAAAAACCAAAAGCGGTCCCTGGTTTTAATTCGTTAGATAAGGCATCTGGTTTTGTCACCTTACCTCGCACGTTCGGATTCCCACGTTTTAATTTCTTAACCGTTTAACTAAATAGAACAATGTAGGGCTCTAGGCAAGCCAATGCTTGTTGGCAACTAGGGCATCACACCAATATCTTAGAGGAGAATTATCACCCTCACCGCAAAGATGAGTTTATTTGACTTTTTGCCCCTCATTTTTTTTGTTTTAAAAACTTAATTTTTAGACTTAATTTCAAAATAAAACCAAATGAAAATATGTTTGTTTATATCAACTTTAAAACAGTTTTAGAATTGAAAAATAAATAAACTAATAGTGAAGGTTGCAAGGGTTAATTAATGGTGGTGGTTTATGATAGAATTTGATTGAGCTAATTATATTTTATAGTATAATTAAAGAGTGCTTTAGAGATTATCTCCCCTAAGATTTGAAAAGACAAATGGTAGACCTCTCCCAACTAAGTTACTATATATATAAGGATTGAATTTTAACTCCTAATCATTTGTTTAAGTGACACAAGCATTACCATTCATGCTAACTTTAATTGATATTTTTTTTGTATGTTGTGAAAAATATAAAAATTAAATTAAATTTGTTATGAGAACAAAAAGAAACATTAATATTTGCCAAGTTTCTAGCTTTTATTCTACAAAATAAAAAAATGAAAAATATCATGTTTTCTTTAATAATAATTATATAGATGAAGTAAATTATTTTTTCACCTTTCATTTCATTATTTTTAATATGTTTTCAAAATAATAATTTAAACAATTTTTATATTTTTTAATCTCTTAAATTTATTCTACTAAATTGAAGTTGTTTAAGAAAAAAAATGAATAATGAAATTAAACAAGGGAGAATTTCAACTGAGGACTATGCAAAACTATTAATTGTTAATTTTCTAACTTCAATTGTCAATTTACTAATATAAGTTGTAAATTATATTACTTGACCTGTCAATTGTAAAGTTGCCTTTACTAATCCAATACTTAACTAACATACCATTGGTAGTCAAGAAATTAATCCAAAAGAAAAAATTACCTAATTATGGTTAACCATTTACAAATATTTCAAAATCTAAAGGTGTTTCTTTCAAAATTTGGAATCCCAAGTTTCAAATCTTATAAAACAATTCAAATATGGCTTTATTAAGTCTAAAACAAAGTAAAAATAAGTACAAATGCATAGGGTATTATTTGGTAGTCAAAAAGACTCAAAGTTAGCTGAAAAACATTAAGTGGGAGACATGACAGAGGGACGCGCCGTGGCTTGATCCTCTCTATGCCATAGGCTGTGGTGCAGGACAACACTAAAAAGCAACTTCTGACATGCCTTATTGCTTAATCTGACATTCAATCGAGATGATTTAGACATCTATAGAAATCTCTTTACATAATCTAGCTAGCACAGGTTTTACTCCTAAATAATTTCGCACAAGAGAGATGGACATTGATCTACTTCATATTTTACATGTTATACACTTGGTTTTTGGCACCAAATAGTGCATATTAGGGTTTCTTTCCCAGTTTTTAGCTATATTTCACACATTGACTATATAGACCCTAATGATGCTATTTAGTGGATAGTTTGAGACTTTAAGATGCTTGATTGGACTTTTGGGCTTAAATTCTCATTTTCTTCCTTTTTAATTGTCTTTTTAAAATTTGTTTAGTCTTGTGTTTTTATTTTCAGGTTTGTGTGAGGGCAATCTTGAAATCAAGGAGCAATAACTAAGTCAACCTCATTGGAGAATTTAAGAGCAAGAGAGGGCTTATTTGGCATTTTAATTCTGGAATTGAAGAGGCTGTGATATTGACACCTAATTTCAGAAATTAATTGGAGGAATTAATTAAGTAAAATATTAGGAGCATGTGTGTGACTTTGTGCGTGATTCAAAATCTGATTTTCAAGGAGAAGCATTGCATGACATCATCATAAGAAATGAGAGCACATTATGCGTGAATTGAGCTGATCCAAGGGAAATATTAAGATGACATCATGATGAGGCAAGCCAAGAGCAATTTAGGTGTGACTTCATCTGAAATACATGGAAACTCATGTGGAACTGAAGCAAGCTAAGGGAATCACGTTTTTTGTCCATGCATCAAGTCACATTTCCCTTGCTCATTCATTTAGTTATGAGGCGCCAGATTTAGTTTGAATTTTAGCCAATTAATTCCATTTTCTAGCTAGAAATTAACCAACTTCAGATATGGATTTTTCTTGTTTTTATCACTACTCACTTTGGTTTCATCACCTTCACATTATTCACACATACATAAGTTGAATTTTCAAATTGGAGCCTCATAATTCAGATCCCACTCTCTCTCTTCAGCCATATTCTCTCTCAATTTTCGTTCATATTCACTCTCCAATTTTCCAGATTCAGTTCTCTCATTTTCTTGTCTAGATCATGCCATATTCTCATCCTCTCACTGTCCAAATCATTTCTTCTCCTTTTTCCTTCATTCACATTGAGTTCTTCCTTTATTCTCCTTAAAATTTTCGTCCATTTTCTTCTCTCATTTTTCTAGATTTGGTTTATCATCTTTCATCCAGCTTCATCACATGTCCAAACTTCTCTTCTTCTCCAGTCCAATTTCGTCCACTTCAAGCTTCATTCTAGCACATAATTTCATCCAGCACACACCAATTCTAGATCTGATCTTCATCTTCATACATTCATGGAGGCTTCTCAAGGTCTGATTCAAGTGAAGAGGAAGAGCATGAGAGGCTGATCATTTAGAGCTCCAAGAAAGATGACTTGACATTATGAGATTTTTAGATTTGTAATTGTTGTTTATTTTCTTGATTTCATGTTCTTATTTTGATTCTTTGAGGATTCAATTTTGAACCTAGGTTTAATTAAGGAATTTGTGATTCTAATTCAGATTTGATGAGAATATGAATGTTGAATTTAGATTTTTATGCTATTTTTAGTTTTGGAATTTATGATTTACCTTGATGTTCTAGGGTTATTTCATAAGTTCTTGTTGATTCTTGTTCAGGTTCTTGTGTAGACTTGAGTTAGATCCATTTTGGCTATATGAATTTGACTTAAGCTATTTTTCTTCCACTAGTTTTGGTCTGAAATTTGTGTAGAACAAGGTTGAATATAGTGTTAATTTCTAAGTTCACTTGACCTAGATTCATTAGTATTCATTGGGTCTAATGGTACACCACACTTAGAGGTTTCTAAGTGTTTCATTTTAGGTTAATCAAGAAGGTTTATGATGTTATAATTCTGGAAATCAATGATTAATGTTAGAAAGTCTGACTTGGGCTCACCATAATCATCATTCATTTCATTACAACTAAAATAAAATTTTACAAACATTTATTGTTGCATTATAGAGTTAGTTTAATCACTTGAAAATTCAGATTAATTTGTGGTATTTGAACAATGATTTGTATGCTTTGCTCTCTAGGGAAATGAGCTAGAATACTCACTTCTACATTCTAGTAAAATTTGATAACCCAGTCACCCAAGTACAATTTTTTCAATTTTTCACAATAAGGGTGTCTAAAACCCAACACATGTGCTAAAAGCCATAACTAACACCTAGAACATACTCAATAAGCCTAAGGCTACTTGTGCAACACACCACAGTTTCAATATGTTACATATATCTCATTTTCAACTCTCAACCTCTTAATGTCAAAAACAAAAATGGAAGATTTATCATTGTATTTAATCAAAATAACAACACAATTATAACATTTTAACATCCCTATACTTGCACTAATATTTTAATTCTATTAAAATTTACATCATGCTTAGACAACAACTCTAGGGCCCAAAATACAACAATCAATCATGTACTTTTATTTAATGCAAGCATAAACAAAATGAATTCTTGATTTGCAATATCAATGAAATTACACATTAAATAAATAAAAACAAGAGGTTGTATAGGAGGAATACTCAATTCCTAAGCCTTTAGAGTCTTTTCCTTAAATTATCTTGAGCTGTAGCTTGTAAAATATTAGGATAGAGAGGGGTGAGTACAA